ATTATTACTATTATCTTATTTAAATTATCTAAAATCTGCAAGATCGTGCAATAAAAGCAAACTATTAAAGCGTTTAAAACTAATATTTTTCAATTAAATAGGGACAAAGTTTTCAGAGCTGCATAAGACGCAGATTTATGAGAAAGTCAGAAGAGAAAATATTTGAAGAATTGCTTCTGAAAGAAATTTCTAATAAAAGCCGTGTACACTTATATAATAATTCAATATTTTAGTTGAAAAACGAATTAAGCTAGATTAAGATTTTTTATTTTTGGCTCTTTTACTTTACTTCTACTTTTACTTGCTTTTTCTTTACTTGTAAAATTTGTGCGAAAAATATTAAAAGCATAACATTTTTTTCATTACAATTATAATATTGAATTCAGCTAGTTATAATAGTAATGTTTCAAAATCCCCTATATGCTTCTTATGGTGGTCAGAGCGTATGAGTGACATACATATGTGGAGATCGATGTTGGTTTTTTTAAATTACTCATACGCCAAAGCGTCCAATGAAAATTTATATAAATACATATGCATAAGTTGTTATTAGCACTTGCAAGTGAGTAAAAAGGAGCAATAATTAAAATAAATATTAATTTACGGAAATTAATTCACTTTAATAATCGGCGAATAATTTGAAACATTTTCGATAGACTTGATATTATAGTCGATATTCAGTTGGACCTTCGAAAAACTATGTCTAGCGGTGAGGAGGATGACACTATATTGCACTTACACTGAGTTAAAAAATGCATACAAATACACTTATGTATATCATCGACTGATCGGTGAATATTCTCTAATATATGAATATACATATGTACAATATACAAAACAACGAATTTTTGGAAACTCACATGTGGACATAATCCTTTAGGAGGTTACATGGGTTTCCTATGGTAAAAAAAACCGCATTTTTTCAAAAAAATTTTTCTCATAATATATAAAAAATGAAAATTGTTAGAATTTTTTATTGCTACAAATACACTATTAACGAAGAAATTCTGAAATTTTTGGAAAATAAATTTTAAACTCGGGCAGTGCGACGCCATTTTCGGAATCCCCAAAAAAAAAAAGAATTACGCCTTACAGGAACGTCTTAAGTGAAAAGCTTAACTTAGAACTTGGACGAAGGAAAAAGAATGGAAATTTTTAGCAGAGATTTTTACAAACCAAAAAAAAAAAAATTGAAATTCAGGGAAAATTTCAGAGAAATATTTTTGTTTTTTCAAATAATTGTAATCGAAAAAAATCATTCGTCCAAATCTTTAAGAATTGTATCTCAAACACCTGTGTAAAATTTCCTGAAGATCGGTTTCCAGAAAAAAGCGTTTAAAGACGGCGCACTTAGCCTAGGTAGCCGCGAGTACATAAGTTCTCAAGGCTGTATCTTCGAAACTAGTATCGGGATCAACTTGAAATTTAGAACAATGTCCTAGGGGTTTTGTAGAATTTAATAAGATAATAATAATATAATACAAAAAATCGATTTTTTGAAACCCGTAAATCCATGTAAATACCTTAAATGTAATATCTTATAACAAAGAAGGGCTTATATGTTAAGAGCTCTCCCTTAACTTAAGCTTCAGTATACCATACCACTATAGTATTTTTCAAGCACAAGTGGTTGTAGTAGAGGTGGCGGTAGAAAAAGTGCTTTAGAGGGACATTAGTCTGGTCCAGGGTGGAACCTAAGAGGTCTATTGAATTATTTGCTCTTAGCATGGTTCAACTCATTGCAATATTATTGAACAGAAGACAGTACTATTCATGATTCGGTAGAGGATTTTGAAAGAAGTGAAAAATACAAAATGAAACGTTTTGGAAGAAAATGCACTGTAGTAATACTTTGACATGCCAGCTAACAACCAATTCAGGCATTCTAAATACTTCCAAGAAATTCGCCTTAAATTTTCTCATTAATATCATTGACCTGCACATCCAATTAAATCCATTGCCAATAAAATCTTCGCTCGGAAACCTCCAACAAATATAAAATCGTCAATAAAAGTATTAATACAGAATATCAACAATTTCAAACAGATTCGAGTTATCCGCAATACTTGAATAAATTCTAGTATATATTATGGATAAATATTTTCTAGCAATATACAAGGGGCGTTCCGAAGTAACAGGACAGGACAAAAACAGAATAAATGGTTTTTCGGCAAAATCAATTTATTTTATTGAAAAAGGTGTCCTTCTGCTTCAATACATCGGTTCGCACAGTCCAAAAGCATGTCGAACGAGTGCTTTGGCTCTTTGGCCGGTGTGAACGCCAGTATGCCGGTGCAAGCTTTTTGAATGACCTGTACGTCTGCATAATGCTTTCCTTTCAAAGCAAATGCATTGTTCCGAAAAGAAAGAAATCGCATGGTGCCATATCAGGTGAATACGGGAAATGGTTAATTTTTAAATGTGATTTTTTCGGCTCATTTTTGATGAATTCGCGCACAGTTTCGATGAATTTCCGGTGATCACGGATTTTGATTGGTCCACATATTGATCGTCATTTATGGGGCAGAGGCCCTAGATTCCTGTTTACTTTGGAACACTCATTGTATACTTAATGTTGAGAATGGTTCTCATAAGTCTGCTTATTTAGTTTGTAGATGTTCATTAATTGCAACTAGAGTGCTTCTAAAACTGCTGATAAAAAAATGTATTTGCCTATAGAACAACCTTGAATAAAAGCAGCAGTAATTTATTAGCTAAACTCACAAATTAGTTTCAAATAATAAAATACTCAGCCGTAAATTGTTTAACAAACATTGAGTGCTCTTTCTGAAATCGCTTCATTATAAACTCTATATTGCAATAAACAACTCTACTTCAACTTTCATCAAGACGCGTTAAGTTTTCTTCTATCATACCTGTATTTCACTTGAACTGTCAACACCATGGCAACAGAATGCATAAGCGCCATATTGCACAACGGTTCATTGTTGACGCAAAGTGTTAACTAAATTAACACTTCGCTGCCAATGGGCGAAAAAAAAGCGAAAGAAATTAAACACGAAACAAACAATAATGAAACTAGAAAGCAAACAAAAATACAAAATAGAAAACAAACCAAAATGAAATCTAGAAAGCAAACAAAAATATAAAATTTAATAGAAAAAATTTGAAAGTAAAATATTGAAAAAAAAAATCAAGTTTGACGGGATTTCTAAGATCGTCAAATATTTGCGAAAAGTGATGGCGCAGTTTGGTAGCAAAAGTTACGTAAATGCGAAATATTTGAGGCAATCGTGCTAAATTATTTTTGTTTAAACTTTACCACTCCATTTATTTTGTTGAAATGACGACCGAATAGTTTCGCAATGATTCGAGTACCAAAATATTTACTCAGCCTTAGCAATCTTTTCATATTTACGAGTAAAGTACAAAAATATTTACATACCATATGTATGTATGTAAAATACAAGTGCCTAAAGGCAAGAACAACTATTGATCGAAAAAGTTTTCACTATATAGTATAAATATGCGGTACAAGTTCAGTTAATTATAAATAACAAAACAAAACACATTTTAGTCACCAATCAAGTTGGTTTACCCCTTAATTGCATGGGTTTAATTGTTTCACAAAATCTATTTTTTTAATTGTTTTACTAAATTCTACAATTCTAGAATATTGTCCTCAATTTTCAAGTTGACCCGGGTAATAGTTTCGGAGATACAGCCTTGAGAACTTGTGCGTAAGGAGTTATTCTGCCAGCGCATTTTTTTCCAGGGGTCAATAGTTTAAAATATTTTTTCTTTAGTCTCAGAACTTCCTTGCTTATAGTGTGTGTTTGCAAAAATAAAATAACTAATTTTTTAAATAAGAATAATTTCTTGAAAAAATGTTTTTTATCCGAGGAAGCCTATCTAACACCTTAGTATAATATGATTTTTCTCTATACTGTTCTCTATGTTCTAGGTAAACTAATAACAAGGTTTTTTA